GGCTCTGGTTGAGACTGGCAGCCCATCTAGACCCCTCTGATGAAGGGGACAGAAAGGTGTGTGTACATACACGTGTCGGGGGGAGGGGGGAGGGAGAGCAAGACCCTACAATGGTGATGTATCCTTCACCTTGAAGGACAAAGTGGAGAAGGTGAACACTGACAAAAGGGTGGAAGACCAGCCAGGTCTTGAGCTCCCCTTTTCTTCCTTCTTTTAAAATTATAGCAAAAAATATATAAAACTTACCATTTTACCCATTTTAAAGTGTGGCCTGGCATTAAGCACATCCACAATGTTGTACCACCATCACCATTATCTAGTTCCAGAAGTTTTTCATGACCCCAAAAGGAAATCGCCTACCCATTAAGCATGGCTCCCCATTTCCTCAATCCCCAAATCTCAGCTTTCCATCCCTATGGATTGGCCATTTCATATAAATGGAATCACATAATACGTGGTCTTTTGTGTCTGGCTTCTTTCACTTAGCACAATGTTTTCAAGTTTCATCCATGTTGTAGTGTGGATCGCTACTTCCATGGCTGAACAATATTCCGCTGTGTGGATAATCCCAAATTTTGTTTATCCATTCATCTGTTGATGGCCATCTGGATTATTACCACCTGTGGCTGTTGTGAATTGTGCTGTTATGAATATCTGCATACAAGTTTTTAGTTGAATACGTATTTTCAATTCTTTTGGGTATATTACCTAGGAGTAGAGTTGCTGGGTCGTATGGTATTTCGATGTTTAACTTACTGAGGAACCACTCCCCCTTCTTTTTATAGATTTTCACAGACTCAGAAGGCTGGAAAGGACCTCAAAAGTGACCTAGAGCAATGTTTCTCAGACTTTTGGATTTCACACAACCATGAAACTAAAACCACCACTACCACCACCCTCTCCCTTCAAAGTAATAGGGATTTGTGTCAGGATCAAGGCCAACCTCATAAAATGAGTATATTTAGTGTCAGGTAAACTCATGGCCTTGTACTTGTTTTTCTCCTATCACCTCCACCACTGGGTCATTTGGGAACCACTTGCCTGGTCCAATCTTCATCTAAAGTCTGAGTTCCCCTCTCCAGCTGCCCTGGGCTTGACCAGCCTCTGGGGCTCAGCTGGGGGATGTTCTCCCTTCTAGGTAGCCCTGGTCCCTGGAATGTTCTTCCTCATGGAGTGCTGGCCCTACTCCCATGGTCTCCCCAGTACCTTTGCTCCCCACAGACCTTGGCCTCATTCCACCTGTTTTGGGCCTGGGACCCATGCTACTTTCTGCTTCCTGAATGCTCTATAGGGCTGAGCACAGCCAACATGAGACACTGAGAGCAGAAGAGGTGGAGATGAGGGAGCCCCAGACTTGTAAAGACTCTCAGCAGAAACAAAGAGAATCTCCAAGCCATATATGTATAGTATTATGGTATTTCATAAACACCTCCCCACCAAAAAAAAAAAAAAAAAAAATTGTGAACAAGCCATACAGACTAACAAGGTTTTATTTGTTTTATGTTGGCTGGGCTTATCCCAATTCAACATTTCTCTCTGTGCTGAAAGGCAGCAAGACAGCATGGAGAGACTTGACAGGTGAGGCCTGCATTCAAATCGACCATCGCCTGTTACAAGGTGACCTTGGTGAGGTTGATATCTGTGTGCCACACTCACCAAATTGGCAGAAAGGGGATTTTAAGGCTGCCTCACAAGATTATCATGAAGGAGGTGAGGCAACAGAAGCGCCCAGCACACCATAGGCACTTGCTCCATAACAGTTCTCATTGGAGGAAATCTGAGCAGCATTTTATACCTTCGATGAGCAAAAACAAAGTGAGAACACAAACTCACCATTATTTAATATACATTTAATATACTCACCATTATTTAATATACATTTGGCAAACAAAAGTCCTTCAAAGAATCAAATCCCTGTATGGAAAAACAATAAAATAGTAACAAAAAGAAGTGTTGGATGGTAAGGAACATGGAAACACAGTAGAGCTGAAACAAAACAGCACCTTGGTCTCTTATCAAAGGATCCAGTGGCACTGCTGAGGCCAAACCCTACCCCAGCCACCTGGACAGTGGGAACAAGGTCTCCCGGAAGAGGATGGCCATGCCCTGTGTCTATGAGCCCTAGGGAGGCAGCTCCAACAGGAACTAAGACTCATGGGGGCTGGCTCAACCCACTGGGTAGGGAGGGCCCTGAGGAGGGGCCCTGGGTGGTCCCCACCTTAGGAAAGAAGTTGAAGAGGGGACTCACCACCCACCTCCCCCAGGAAGGAGATTCAGTCCCTGGCCAGTCCTTCAGAATTTGGTATCGACTTTGTCAGGGAAAGCATCAGGTCTCCTTACATGCTGAACAGTATCTGTTGGTTAATGAGACATGATCACCTTGCCTGAACAAAGCACAGATGGTGCTTCACACCTTCAGTCTGGGCTGCAGAATCTTCCCAGGAAGGGTCCCAAGCCCTCAAAAGGTGCTTTCTTGGAAGGTCAGCGTAGATGTTCACAGCTGTCTAGCCCGGGACTGGCCTGCACGGCACTGTCCTTAGGCAGCTCTGAGGCAAGAGCAAACTGGAGGGGTTTCCTGCTTCCTCTCTGCCCCCTGGATCAGTCCCTGTGATCAGGCTGGAAGGCCTCCCTTCTTTCTGTCCACCTTGCTGGGAATCCCAGTGACACAAACACCAGAGTCAGCCACAACTGGAGGGTGGGGATTCAACAACAACCCTCACTTCCTCGGGGTTCCGATACCAGCAGAGCCACCTAAGCTGCTGCCACCTCTGGCTGGAGGCTGCTGCTTCTGGCCTTGCCCACCCAGCCCTGGCTACATCAGGGCAAGTGGGAGGCGGGGTGGGGCAGGGGAGAAACAGAGTATTTCAAACAGGCAAGCACCGTGGAGATTTCTCCCATCTGCAGAGCTCCACATGGTGTGAAAAGGGCTTTCACCTTCATCTGCTCCTCAGCGCCTTGGGGAGCGCTACCCCCTTGTAACTGAAAGGGAAACTGAGGTCCAAGGAATGTTAGAAATATGTTACCCATTAAGAAGTGGCTGAGCCAAAACCCAGTGCTAGGACCGACTATAGATTCAGTGCTCTTCCACAGTCTCTGAAGATATGAGTACATTAAAACAGCGAGAATGCCTGGTGCCTCTAGCCCCGGGAGTCTATAGGAATTGGTGGCAAAAGCATGGGCTCAGAGCCCACTAGATCCGGTTCTCAGCCAGCTCTACTCCTTCCGGGCTGGGGAACTGGCATACAGCTCCAGTCCTCTGTGTCTGTTTCCCCAGCGTGCAGGATGAGGTTAAACCATGCCAGCCTCCAGGCTTCTGGTGAGGACAGATGACACTGGGTTCCAGCTGCTGCACACAGAAGGTGCTCAATGACTGTGTCTCCTTAAAAAAGGTTGGGATGCGAGGAACATTTATAAAGGTGTCTGTCAGTGATGGCTAAAACAAAACCTCTTCTCTCCAGTCATGTGGGAAGCTGGCTTTTATGGGCGGGAAGATGGGAGGATGAAGGAGGAACAGCATCCGCTGGATCAACGGACAGAGGGAGAACACGATGAGGCTCCAGGCAACATGGTCAGGACTCCCTCTAGAAGCCAGCAGAGGGTGAATGGGCACTCATGGCCGGGGGAGGGAGAGGTGAGAGGCCACATCTCCCAAGGAGACCAGCATGCGGCCAGGCAGAGCTCACGGTAAAGATGAGAACTCTGCAAAGGCTGCTATCCATTGCGCATGTCCCACGGACCAAGTGCTTGACGCACGCTGGCTCTAAGTGCCAACTTACCCGTCCCTGGCCACACAGCTGGCTAGCTGCAGGGCTGAACCAGAACCCTGAGCCTGAGTCCAGAGCACACGCTTTCTCCACTCTTCCGTGCTGCCCCTCGAGGCTGGGACCACCATTCCTTTCTTCTCTTGCTGTCCAGGTCCTCAAGGGTGGGGACTGGCTCTGACTCATCTCTGCACCCCCAGCACCCAGCGGTGCTGGTCGAATGAATTACGCACTTGAAAACATTTCAGAAACCTACTGGACTCAAAAGTCAGAGTCCTTTTCATAGAATATGACACGGTAGAAAACTACACAGGCTGATTCCCTTCTGAGGAATGTAGCCTTAGAAGAAATTCTAAATTCTTCACTTCTTTGCCTAGAAAATGTGAGTATCCAAGTCCTTCTACAATGTAATGTATTAGGGTCTTCTGCTCCCACTCAAAGTGGAAAAGCCCTACTGTGATATGGGGTGAGCAGCGTGGAATATCAGAGCATTGTCTTGCCTGACGACAGACAAGGAAACTGAAGGCCAGGAAGGAAAAGGGATCCCTCAAGATCACACCTTGGGCCTCGCCATTTTTCCTACATAAAAGGCTGCCTTTGCAAGAAAGAAGTACGCATTCAACATATACATCCTGAACAGCTGTTGTACGCTATCTGCAGCAGGTGCAGTGAAGTGCTAGAGCAGAGTTATCACACGGAGCAGTAAGGGCCCCAGAGGCTGGAGGAGTTAGTTCTGTGTAAGGGAGTTGAGAAAGGCTTCATGTGATAGGTGACTTGGACCATTAGGGAGAAGTTAGAAGTTCTAAGGGAAGATGTGGAAGAGTGGCTAACCTTCTGCCAAAATATGTGCTCCCCCATCTAAGTACAGAGCTGTTGCTGTGAAGCCACTACCTGAACAACGACTACACGTGGGGCCACGTGACTATGAGCGGCTGATGGAACGTGAGCAGTTAAGAGCAAAGCAGTAAAGAAATGGCTGTGCCTTCTTCACCATCCCCTTCCCCTCTGCCAGCCAGAAACAAAGCCTCTGAGGCCCCAGGAATGGCAGAGCCACAGATGAAAGGAGCTGGGTCCCTGAATCACCGTGTGCTTCTGCCGAGCGGATGCAGCCATACTGGATTGTATGGGAGAGTAAGTCTCTACAGTGTTGGAGTTTGTTACAGCAACAAGCATCACCAACTACTACAGAAGGGAAGGGAAGACAGGTGTTCCAGGCAGAAGGACTAAGGCACAGCGGTGTGACAAAAACATAGTGTGTTTCAGGGAATGGGGAAGGTCTGATGGTGGCTGGAGCACCGGCCACGTGAAGGGGGTACTGAGATTCAGCAAGCTCACGCTGGTCACCACAGGAAGGAAGGTCACGTACAGGGATTGTTTCCAGGGGCCCTGGTGTTGCTGGCGCTGCTCTCGAAGGAAGAGTGGAAGTTGTGAATGGTTTCCTGTAAAATTTGTCTCTCGCGTCCCTGTGGAGGAAATTGAAAACAGACACAGAAAGTCTTGTTAAATCTTTTAACCATTAATTCAATTGACACAGTGCTGTTAACGTTTAACTCATACTTGAAAAACCCATGGGCATCTTGGGGAAAACAAATTACCTAATTGAAAGAGTACTGAGTTTAATAAAAACATCCTGAGTCAGAATCTCCCCCAGCACCCACAAACACAGCATGCCAGGCCTGGAGAGGCCCCCAAGATGCAGGGGTCCAATTTCCCAGATGAGGAAGGGCAGCAGAACCCAGGGAGCAAGAATGACTTGCCCTGGGTCACTCGGCCCGGAAGGGACGTCTCCTACCCTGCCCTGTGCATCTTTCCAGCCCTCGTATCTCCAGGGACTTCAGAGGGAGCTGAACTTTCTGATACAGAGTGAGAGTTTGAACTGCCTTTACTCCCCCTTGTCCAAAAGATGACAGATTCGTTTTCACAGTGATTCACTTCTCACCCCATCCTTGCAGACCCCCCTCCTAGTTGCTGCTCTTTACACACGTATTTTGAGATGGGAAAAGAGGGGGGATGTGGATTTTTTTTTAAGCCCAAAGAACATCTTCACTGAATACGTAGGCGAGAGGCAGTGATATATAGAGGTGAAGAACAGAGACTGGAATCACACAGCCTGGGTTCAAATCCCAACCCTCCCATTTACTAGCTGGGTGACCTTGAGCAAGATACTTCATCTCTCTGGGCCTTAATTTCCTCATCTATAAAACGAGGATGATAATTGTACCTCAGATGGTTGCTGCTGACATTGGGCTGTGGGTGGGCAGCAGGAGGCCAGCATATCCTGACCTCAGAGAACAGCAGTGTAGATTAAACATATATATATATATATATATATATATATATATATATATTTTTTTTTTTTTGCGGTACGCGGGCCTCTCACTGTTGTGGCCCCTCCCGTTGCGGAGCACAGGCTCCGGACGCGCAGGCTCAGCGGCCATGGCTCACAGGCCCAGCCGCTCCACGGCAATGTGGGATCCTCCCAGACCAGGGCACGAACCCATGTCCCCTGCATCGCAGGCGGACTCTCAACCGCAGCGCCACCAGGGAAGCCCTAAACATATATTTTTAAAACTAAGAAATAAATGTGGTCAAAATGTAAAGCAAATTAAAACTGAATAATCTCTGGCAGATTGTTTTCTGCCAAGAGTGGAAAAAAAATAAAAAACTCCACCGAATGAGCCTAGACTTTAAACTTTCTCTTCCTTTATTGCATGGACTGCCCTTTCCAGATCCCCAAGCAGAGACCTCTAGTGCTGACGAGGCCTCCTGGACACTTGGGAGGGCAGAAGAGTCTCCCTTCACACAATCCTTCCAGGTCATTCTTCCAAGACAGCTGGGAAAGTGCCATCAGGATTCCATCAACACACACCTAAAGGCAGCAGGGAAGAGGACAGAGCATTGGAGGTGGGGAGGTGGAGTCAGAGGACCCCGAATCCCTAACCCACTACTCACTCTGTCCCAGGCATGACCCCATGCTGCTGAGTTTCTGTATCTGTAAAAGGGGGATGGTATCACATGCTGGGGCTGTGATGAGGCTCAACCTGAGATAATGAACGGGGTGACACTGTGCAAACTGCAGAGGGCTAAAAAATAAATAGAGGGAATGACAACCATGTCATTATTAGACACCACCTTAGCCTTAATTGCCTGAGAAATGAGGTCAGGGCGAGACAGGGTTCCAGCACACTATGCTTCCTAACCTCAGGAGGGAGCCGCAGATGATGAAAACCATAATCACTCCCTGCATCCACACCTGATTGAAGATGATAATGATAACTGCCCTTTAAAAACCCCCAAGTTTCAAAGGACCTGCCTGATAATTCTCAAAAAGAAAAAAAGCAAATGGCCATTAAAAGTAGAAAAAATGTTCAGTCTATCTAGTAGTTAAAGAAATACAAACCAACACAAGGCATACTTCTCGGCCTATCAAATTAATAAAAATTAAAAAGCAAATTGGTAGTACCCAATGCTGGCAAGGGTGACACTGGAACTTATAACCACAGCTGGTGGGGGTGTTCACTGGCTCCTGCTGGAAGGTATTTCAGGACAAAGTACCATATACCTTGACTTAGACTCTGACTCCATAATTTCACTTTTTTTAGATGTCTATTCTGAGGAGATAATTAGAAAGCCTTATACACGAAGTTGCTCACTGTAGCACTATTTATAGAAAGTTGGAATATCTACATATCCAACAAGTAGGGATTAAAAAAAATAATTTTAGTACATCCTTGCAAATTTATTTTATTATATTAAAAGAGTTCTTAATGACATGGGTAACTGCATATATTTACTGTTAAACAAAGTAAGTAGAATATAAAATTATAGATCCAAATTTATCTCAGCCACATAAAGAAAACATTCAGCACAAAACACTGCAGAGCGATCTCACCAAATACGAACAGTGCTGGCCTCTGGGTAGTTGGATCGTGACTCCTTTGAAAGTTTTTTCGCCTTTCTGGCACTGTGCAAATTTAGTAAGACAAATATGCACAACTTTGAATAATCGCAAAAAAATGGGAATGGAAAGAAGCAATGGCTTTAGGACCAACTAAAGGTGAAACTCAGGCCATCATTTCTGTTTAACCTTCTCCAATATAGCACTTGTCTGAAACTAACAGACTAATAAGCTGACTTGAGTATACATCACAACTCGGATACTGGGGTGGGCTCACCTGGAAGTCAAATAGTTTGCAGGCTGAGGGTCCACGCTGCTTTGCTGATATTTTTATGGCTGAGCCAGGTTTTGGGCGAATAGTCATTTAAAAAAAAATTTTGAGGAGGCAAAGATGGTGTCAAGATGGCAGTGTGGGAAGATGCAGAGTTAGCGTCTCCCCACAACTAGGGTGCCTGCCGGCCGCTGGTGGGGGACACTGATGCCCAAGGAGACGGGAAGAACCCGAGAGTGAACTGGTAGGATGTAGGGGGACTGAGGGGGTAGGAGAAGTGGAGGCCAGACAGGATCAGCGCCCCTGAGGCCGGGGAGATCAGGAGAGGCAGGTGGGAGGGACTCTCCGGAAAGAGCATGAGAGGAGCAGAGGGCAATCGCCTGGCCCACGCGGGCCGGGGAGCCTGCTGAGCTCCCAGGTGGGTCCCCTGCCCTCCAATGCCCTGTCCAGGCCAACAGGTCCTTGGGAGCATAGGAGGGAGGCCAGGGAGATCAGGAGAGGCAGGCGGGAGGGGCCCTCCCAGACCGGAGGAGCAGAAGAGGTGGGAGGGAGTTTGCCCCACCCACTCGAGCCCAGAAAGCCTGCTGGGCTCCCAGGTGAGGTCCGCTGCCCTCTGAGACCAGGGGTGGGGGGCACATCTGTGTCCCTTCTGTTCCTTGAGCCTAAGCCCCACCCCCCAAAGCCCCCAGGGCCTTTTCCAGCCCTGTGGGTCCTGAGTATTGGCCCCACCCACCGCCCAAACCTCGCCCTTGCTTAGGCCCCGCCCTCCACAGCCAAGGCCTCCCACCAACCCGCCCCTTTTATTTTTTGCTACTCCATGTGGCTTGCGGGATCTTGGTTTGCGAGCCTGGGGTTGGGCGGAAGCTCCTGTGGTGGGAGCTCCGAGTCCAAACCACTGGGCTAACAGAGAACCTCAGACCCTAGGGAATATTCACCAGAGTGAGGTCTCACAGAGGTCCCCATCTCAGCACCAAGATCCAGCTCTACCCAATAGCCTACAAACTCCAGTGTTCGAAGCCTCAGGCCAAACAACCAGTAAAACAGGAATACAATCCCACTCATGAAGAGAAAAAAAAAAAAGGAGATTGCAAAAAAATATGTCACAAATGAAGGAGCAAGGTAAAAACCTACGAGACCAAATAAATGAAGAGGAAATAGGCAATCTACCTGAAAAAGAATTCAGAGTAATGATAGTAAAGATGATCCAGAATCTTGGAAATAGAATGGAAGCACGGATTGAGAAAATACAAGAAATATTTAACAAAGATCTAAAAGAACTAAAGAAAAACAGAGATGAACACAATAACTGAAACGAAAAATACACCAGAAGGAATCAATAACAGAATAACTGAGGCAAAAGAACGAATAAGTGAGCTGGAAGACAAAATGCTGGAAATAACTGCTGAGGAGCAGAATAAAGAAGGAAGAATGAAAAGAACTGAAGACAACCTCAGAGACCTCTGGGACAACACTCAATGCACCAACATTCGAATTATAGGGGTCCCAGAAGAGAAAAAGAAAGGGTCTGAGAAAATATTTGAACAGATTATAGTTGAAAACTTCCCTAACATGGGAAAGGAAATAGTCACCCAAGTCCAGGAAGCACAGAGAGTTCCATACAGGATAAACCCTAGGAAAAACACACCAAGACACATATTAATCAAACTAACAAAAATTAAATTCAAAGAAAAAATATTAAAAGCAGCAAGGGAAAAACAAAAAATAACATACAAAGCAATCCCCATAAGGTTATCAGCTGATTTTTCAGTGGAAACGCTGCAGGCCAGAAGGGAGTGGCAGGCTATACTTAAAGTGATGAAAGAGAAAAAAACCTACAACCAAGATTACTCTACCCAGCAAGGATCTCAGTCAGATTCGATGGAGAAGTCAAAAGCAGCTCCTGCAGCTCAATAACAAAAAAACAAACAACCCAATCCAAAAATGGGCAGAAGACCTAAATAGACATTTCTCCAAAGAAGATATACAGACGGCTAACAAACACATGAAAGAATGCTCAACATCATTAATCATTAGAGAAATGCAAATCAAAACTACAATGAGATATCATCTCACACCAGTCAGAATGGCCATCATCAGAAAATCTAGAAACAATAAATGCTGGAGAGGGTGTGGAGAAAAGGGAACACTCTTGCACTGTTGGTGGGAATGTAAATTGATACAGCCACTATGGAGAACAGTATGGAGGTTCCTTAAAAAAATACAAATAGAACTACTATACGACCCAGCAATCCCACTACTGGGCATATACCCTGAGAAAACCATAATTCAAAGAGTCATGTACCAAAATGTTCATTGCAGCTCTATTTACAATAGCTTCCCTGTATTTGCAATACATGGAAGCAGCCTAAGTGTCCATCAACAGATGAACGGATAAAGAAGATATGGCACATATATATACAATGGAATGTTACTCAGCCATAAAAAGAAACGAAATTGAGTTATTTGTAGTGAGGTGGATGGACCCATCTGTCATACAGAGTGAAGTAAGTCAGAAAGAGAAAAACAAATACCGTATGCTAATGTATATATATGGAATCTAGAAAAAAAAGAAGATGGTACTGATGAACCTAGTTGCAGGGCAGGAATAAAGAGGTAGACATAGAGAATGGACTTGATGACATGGGGTGGGAGGGCGAAGCTGGGGCAAAGTGAGAGTAGCATCGACATATATACACTACCGAATGTGAAACAGTTGGCAGGTGGGAAGCAGCAGCATAGCACAGGGAGACTGGCTCCGTGCTCTGCGATGACCTAGAAGGGTGGGATACGGAGGATGGGAGGGAGGCTCGAGAGGGAGGGGATATGGGGACATGTGTATGCATATAGCTGATTCGCTTTGTTGTACAACAGAAACTAACACAGTATTGTGAAGCAATTATACTCTAATAAAGATCTATTAAAAATTTTTTTGGCTAAAATGTTCAAACTTTTTTGATTGTGTATGAAATATATTTTATATCACAACCCTGTTACATGTAAATCCATACAACTTAAACAAGCTTTAGCCTTCTTACCTGCAAAGAACGTTCATATTTTCTGCTCTGTTCTATTTTGCTTGTTAAAATGCTACTCATGAACTACTAAATTGATTCCACAACCCTCCAGCATGCTGTGGACCACAGCTAGAAAGACATGGGGGTGAGGGGACAAGGAAAGCTGGGCATCTCCTCTCCCAAGTGTCCTGAGTTTTCAAATGTGTACAGAGCATTTGAGCCACAATGGGTACTCTTTTGGCCAAGGTTCAGTTTCGAAAGAAAGAGGATGAACATTAGGAGAAGCTCCTGCCCTAGAGCAATCAAGAAGGAGACAGGAGTCGGGGTCAGGCGGGTCCAGCCCTGAAGAGCCGAGGCCCCAGGCGTCCAAAGAGCTATTGGAAGCCACACTTGGCCTGAGAAGTTCTTTGCTCTTTCTAAGAACTAGCACAGACTTGCAATGGTAACCTAGAGTAGGGAAGATACACTTGCTTTTGTGATATTCAACGTCTCCCAATCATACCTTTGCTCTAAGATGCACTTGACACACAGTCCTCATTTCCACAGGACTTTGGCACTACTGACCCTTGAATAATAGGGCCATTCTCCAGCGATCAGTTCAGCTCAGCCCCTTCCCCTTGCACCTATCTCCACGTGGGTTTGCCTGACTTTGCAGGGTGGATGCTACCTGTGGGGAGGACATGGGTGGCGTGGCATGTTGGATGCACCCGGATCTTTCAGTTGGGAGATGATCAGCTGGGGCCCCCAAGGAAGACCACGGTATTGGGCTGAATGTTTGTGTCCTGTGTTGAAACCCTAAGCCATCAATGTGATGGTGTTAGGGGGTGGGGCCTTTGGGGGGTGATTAGAATTAGGTGAGCTCATGAGGGTCAGCCTCCCATGACACCATCGGTGTCCCTATAAGAAGAGATAAGAGAGATTGGCTTCTCTCTGTTATGGGTCACATGGGGACACATGAGAAGGTGGCATTGTGCAACTTGGAATAGGACCCTCACCAAACTCAACCACTGGCACCCTGATCTTAGACTTCCAGCCTCCATACTTTGAGAATTCAATTTCCATTTACAAGCCACCTGGTTTGGGTATTTTGTTATGCAGCCCGAACTAAGACAACCACCAGCGGATGTTCCTCTCGATGGGGCCCCGCTTAGTATGGGATACAAGCTGTTACAGAAACAAGGAGAAGGGGGGCAATGAATTTCAGAGAAAACTTAAAGAAAAAAATGTTCAGGCCTGTACAGACTTTAAGACAAATGTCCTCCTTTGGAGTGGGCTTGAGATGTCACATCATCCACTCTAATGATGACAGTTTCCTAAGATTTGCAAACCAACCCAGTCTGTTTTCTTTTTATGATTCCGGACCAAGGAGGCCATAACCACTGAGGGCAGAGGAGAGGTTCCAGTAGCATTAGCGGTTACCATCTACCAAGCCCCAGGCCAGGCTCCAGGGACACCTAGCTCCTGTCTTTCCATGCCCTCCGAGGTCCTCACTGGCCCTACATCTAGAATCTTTTCTGTCCTTCTCGACTGGCCTAGGCTTGGCTTTCCTCACCTCCTTCCTCCCCTTGGCTCACACATCTGGCCCTTGGAGGCCAGGAGGAGGAAGGGTCCTAACTTCTGAGCCAGAGCCTCCTTACCATCACTCACCTAGTCCCCACCCCGAAGCCCTTGGACACTTGACTGGGTCACCCTCAACCACCCTGAGAGCCTTAATCTGTCCCCTCTGGCCTCCCCTCACACCAGGCATCTTTCTCTCCATGCTCCAGCCACTCCTTTAGTTCTTTAAATGCACCACACATCTTCTCACTGCAGGGCCTTTGCACATGTGCTGCCCTCTGCCTGGTCTGCACTTTTCTTCTACCCCTTTGCCAGGTGGTTCCTGTCTTCCTTCACATTGCAGCCCTCCTGCCCTTCCTCGGGGACGTCTTCCAGGCCCTTGCCTTACCAGTCCCCACTCTAAGTCAGGAGCTCTCACAACACAATTTGCCTGTCCCATGCCTGTGGATTATACCGAGGCAGGATAGCAGAGAGGCCAGGACACAAACTCTGGGTTCTAATCTTGCCTCTGTCACTTACTGACTGTGTGATCTTAGGCAAGTTCCCTGATCTCTCTGTGCTTCAGTTCCCTCATCTGTAAACTGGAAACAACCTCAGCAGCTTTCGTGAGGGTTACACGAATGACTAGATGTGACGTGCTCAGAGCAATGCTGGGCACTGAGTGATACTCAGTGCTCAACACCCACACAGTGCCTGGGAGATGGCAGACAGTTAAAGGGAGATTTCTCATGAGTAAATCAATGCTCTGAAGAGTTTAGTGCTGGCTTCAGGTGATCCACCTGCAGTAAGCCACCCTGAGGCTTCCGTTCCCTAGGTGAACCCTTCCTAGCAGCCGAGACCTGCCCACCTTCTGCTGCTCATGTCTAAGGGCAGGGCAGAAACGGTGCTGGTCTCCGAGTTGGGGCTCACTGCCTCTCTCGGAGCCTCTGCTTCCCTATCTGTAAAGTGAGGCAGCAAGGGTCCCAGGACAGGTGAGCAGTGTTTAGGAACAGGCCACTTGCAGAGGAGAAAGAACACACAGCAAAGACCTGCAGGAAAATGCTTAGGCTTGCAGACACCTGCAATGCCTGAAGCAATGCCGACTACATCACTTTGAAGGACGACCTCACAGCCTACACACAGGCAAAACAGTGACGACCACGATGGCAGAAAAACCAGCCCCCAACCCGGCGAGGCTGCAGGGCTGGAGGAGCTGCTTCCACACAGTGTGATGCTGCAGGAACCAGTGAGAAGGACCCCCTCCCTACCCCCGACTCTGCTCCTGGGCTGCACGAGGAGAGTGTGAGGGTACCGGCTTCCTGGATTAACTGAGGAAAGGTATGCACAGTGATCTGTGAATGATAAACTGTTACGTGGATATTTACCTGAGATTGTCACTACAGGTCTGTTCAATATTTCTGTGCCTACCTGGCAATATATAGAAAGAACCATAAAATGGTACGATCGCTAACATAACCTTGTATTGTGGAACACAGCCTGAAGAACAAAACAACAGCAGAAAAAGCAAAAACGCAGAGATGTCCATTCTGGTACTATTTACAATGGTCAAATCCCAGATTTTACCTGTCACTATCGTCGAACAAATGGGGAGCTGTTCGGCTAAGTGTGAAAGAGCAACAGGTATGCAAGTATTTATATGTTATTGCTTGAATAAGAGACCAAAAAAATCCAGCCCACGTTAGGGAAAAAGACAGAATGCAAAGGAATGTGAATAGCCCAAGAGCGACTGTACAACTGTCTGCAGAGTGAGTGGTGCCTCACTTCTCTTGTGTTCTGTTTGCTTGTTTGTTTTTTGCATATGTGCCTTTGGGTGGGTGGATGGGTGGGTGGGGGCTTTGCTAATCTTTAGCTCTAAAGCTGGTGAAACAGAAGTTGAACATTAGACAAAAATGCAGGATGCCAACAACAACAACAACACTGACTGACAGATCTCTGTGTGCCAGGTGCTCTGCGGAGCATTTTAGTCCCGGCAGCGAGCCCATCACCCCCACCCTACAGACAAGAAAGCGAGGCTCAGAGGAGGGTGTGACTTGCCCAGGGTCATTGTAAGTGGAGGAGCTGGGATTCAAACCCAGGTCGGCCTGACCCTGCCGCCTGTCTTAATCAACTTCCACTGTGCTCCGGAGGGCAAAACCCAGCCCGATGGGGTGAGATGACCGGAGGGAGTGTTTTAGCCAAATCTAAGGAGAAACCACCTTATGGGAAGAGAGATCTCGAAAAGGAACAGGCATACTCAAAGGTAGTGACCCCTCGGTCATGAGAGGTGTATGAGCGGGGCTGTCGTCCACCAGGTGTGGGGGAGAGATGAAATCAGACCATGAAGGTCCCTGGAACACTGGGGCCGAGGATCCTAGTGAAGCTCTCAGCTGTTGGAAACAGGAAAAAAAAAAAAAAGATTGAGAACAATACCTTGCCTGCGTTCAGTTCAGAAATCGCTGCCAAAATCTGCTGCCTGGACCCGTCTGTCTTAATCCCCAGCTCCTTCAGGTCGCCATCGGTGAGCGTGAGGAACGCTTCCATATCCACCTGGGGAGAGAGAGGGGGATTCGCTGCTATCTGCTCGGCGCCACACCTCTTTTCCCCAACCACAACCAGACTATCACGATAACGAGCTATTAGTGCTTATGAGCAGTGAATTAATTATGATTTACTACTTCCAAGTCCTGGCTTTATGCTGAAAGTTTATTTGAAAACATCATTAAAATCGAACCCTCAGGACTTCCCTGGTGGTGCAGTGGTTAAGAATTCGCCTGCCAATGCAGGGGACACGGGTTCGATCCCTGGTCCGGGAAGATCCCACATGCCGCGGAGCAACTAAGCCCATGCGCCACAACTACTGAGCCCGCACGCCTAGAGCCCGTGCTCTGCAACAAGAAAAGCCACCACAATGAGAAGCCCACGCACCACAACGAAGAGTAGCCCCCCGCTCATCACAACTAGAGAAAGCCCGCGCGCAGCAACGAAGACCCAATGCAACCAAAAATAAATAAAATAAAAAACAAACAAAAACAAAACAAAACAAAAAAAACGAACTCTCCTCAGCTCTAAGCCTGGGATTTTTAGGAGAGGTGCATTCTGGAAAGACTCTGAAAACGAAACAAGTAAGGGAAGTCTCTGAGATGGTAATCTGGGTGACTCGAGTGGTAAAAAGTCCAAGTCTTGGTACTAGAAAGTTAATTCCAATGTTGCTGCACTTTTAACAGTATCCGATACTGCACAGAAAATATGAGTATGTGGCAGTACTCACCATGTTTCCCCCCCCCAAGGACAAGAGAGATGCAGACTGTGGAAAGACAGAGTGAGAAAATAAACAAGCAGAAGCAATAAAGGAAAGAAGGGCCATTGGTTTTTACCAGAAAAAAAAGGGCATCTCAAAGCTGTTCAATCCTTGGTTTTTGCCAGAGAAATTCTAACATTTCTGTCATCCCTGCCTAGGCCTCAGCTCCAGGAGAAATTTCTTCCCTGTCTTGATCTCTTTTAATAGTCACTTTACTTTCATGGATTTAAAAAAAAATCTTGAACCAGGTTTGAGTTAGTGGGGAAGGGTCTGCTCCCTTATCCAACATCAAGCTCTCCCTGAGATGCAGAAAGGGCCCCTCTGATAACGGATAAGCTCCCTGAATCCCTCGGACACTTTACAGATCACAAGGTGCTAACGGGATCAAGGAAGAGGTGACATGATTTTGACGGAAACCACCTGCCCCTGGCCCTGCTGGATACTCCCCTCCCCCACCATCCCAGACCTGTGGCAGAGACCCCACACCCAGCTCCTCAGAAAGCACGGAACGCATAAAATAAAAGCAGGCAGCCATCAGCAAACAGTAAAGATTTTTTTGACGATGAGAACAATCGCCACTGAAGTTTAAGACATCAAGGAGGCAGGAAGGACAGGCTGGATAGGGCAGAAAAGCAAACCAAGGAAGAAAGCCACAGCACCCCTTACTGTTTCCTGAACAAAAATACAAACTCCTCAGATTTTGGAATTTATGAATTAGATAAGATTCTAATGACCAAATAATTCTGCCTTCTCAAATAACAGAGAAAATGTTAAATAATATTTAAATCAAACTGACTAGGTTGAGTTCATCTGCCCAGTGAGGAACATTTCTCTTGCCATAATTTAGCTTGAATTATTTTTATAGAGACTGGATTTTCTTCACAACCACAATGCCTTTTTTTATAATGGCTTTTGGCTTTTATTCGGAGGCAGACCCTTTTAAATTTAAACATGATCTGTTGTATTTACTTTGAATGCCAATATACTGTGTATTACCCCCCCCAAAAAAAAAACAAACTCCTCAACTGCATCTCAAGCTTGTTGGGGACAATGAGTGACTCTCGTGATTGCTACAATAACTATGACAGTTGTCATGTGCTAAACTGGGCACCAGAATGTTCTAAGCCAGTGATTACACCCTGGTGGCTAATGGGCCCACTGAGGAGTTTTATTTGGCCAACAGTAAAAATTTTAACATCTTATTGAGACGTAATTCACCTACCATACAATTCACCCACTTAAAGTGTGCAATTCAAAGATTTTTAGTGCAGAGTTATGCAACCGTCACCACACTTAATTTTAGAACATTTTCATCACCCCAAAAAGAAAACCCATACTCATTAGCAATCACTCCCATTCTATCCTCCCCACATTCCCTGGCAACCACTAATCTACTGTCTGTCTCTATAGATTTGCCTATTCTGGACACTGTATATAAATGGAGTCATACCATATGCGGCCTTTTGTGACTACTTTCACTTAGCACAGTGTTTTCAAGGCTCATCCATGTTGTAGTGTGTATCAGCATTTCCTTCTTTTTCATGACCTAGCTACATTCCATGGTATAGAGGTAACACGTCTTAGTTATTCATTCATCAACTGAGGGGCATTTGGGTCGTTTCCACTTTTTGGCTACTAAGAATAGTGCTGCTATGAACACTCTGTGTGAACACATGCTTTCAGTTATCTTGGGTATATACCTGGGAGAGGGATTTCTGGGTCATAAGGTAACTCTGCTAAACATTTTGAGAAACTGCCAAACTGCAGGACAGTAATTTTTAAAAATGTGGTGGTGAGCGCTTTAGAGCAAATAGGAACCTCTTAGACTAACACAGACTATTTACATCCAGATACTGAACACAGGTTCATCAGGATTTGCTTTTTTACCTGCTTTAAACCTAAGAACGTGCCAGGCAATCCCCTTCAACTAGAAGGACAGAAACAAACTTCACTAGAGAGAGCAGAGTTCAAAATTATACAATTCTATTATAATAAAACAAGTTATAAGGTCCCCAGGATTTCACTGTTATGAACTGAACCAAATGTGCTGAGCAAGAATTCTATTTCCTCAGCTATCTAAGTGCAAAAGATCAATCTAGGCTCACAGGATGACAACCTACATATTTAGACAACTGTTTTATGGTAAGATATAAATTGACATTCAGAAAGAACATCCTGGGCTTCCCTGGTGGCGCAGTGGTTGAGAGTCCGCCTGCTGTGCAGGGGACATGGGTTCGTGCCCCAGTCCGGGAGGATCCCACATGCCGCAGAGCGGCTGGGCTCGTGAGCCATGGCTGCTGAGCCTGTGCGTCCGGAGCCTGTGCTCCGCAACGGGAGAGGCCACAACAGTGAGAGGCCCGCGTACTGCAAAAAAACCAAAAAAAACCCAAAAAAACCAAAAAAAACAAAAAAGAACATCCTTACCTCTTGCTCCTCAAAAATGGGCTGATATTTCTCAAGTGATAATTTCTTAAGGATTCCAGTCAGTTCATCTTCAAGAGGGAAAGAATGTAAAATAAGATATTTTAGCATTGGGTAAAATGTATCAAGAGTGATCTTCAAACTTTCATAAAACAGTGGTAATCTTATTTTGAAATTCTACCAGAAACCCCAACACAGAAAACAGACCTAAGGTGCGTTCCTGGGGATGAAGCTGAAGGTGGGTCCCGAGCCACCTGTTGACCATAATCTTCCCTTAGGGCAGGCTCTCAGCATTTGCCAAAACCCCAGATTGGGCTATGAAGACAGAAGATGTGGGGGCAGTTCATGGCCAGGCTCCAAAGGCTGACTCTCCAATGGCGGGACCATCAAGTTCTTGGAGGTCTAGCTGCTGGGACTAAAACCCTCCCGTCTGTCCCAGAACAATTTTTAATTATGATTTCTTGACTGTTGTTAGCTACAGCTGCAGTAAACACTAATGCCAGCAGTCCTCAGCTAGACAGAGAAAGAACTGGAGAGAACAGGTAGGTGGGCTTCAGACCAGAGTCAAGGTTTGCCTCAAGCGTTCGGAGGCTGTGGGCTTCCTGAAGGAAGGGCGTGTCTGAATGGGACAGCAGAGCCAGATGGGCACAGACCAGGGGAAAACAGAAAATTTTGAGTATCAAGTTATCAGAGCAGGGAAGATAAAGGAGACAAAAGCAGCATCTGTGGGGGCTTTAAGAAACATTCCTTCACACATTCGATAAGGATTTATCAGACTAGGCACTGGGGGCTCAATAGGGACCAAAGCAGACCATAAGCAGGCTGTCAGGCTCAAGGCAATGAGGAAGAACAGAGCAGGGTGGGGGAGGTTGACAGGGGATGTGAGAATGTTGTTTTATAGAGGGCGGTCAGGGAAGGCCTCTCAGAAGGAGATATTTGAGCAGTAAATGAAGGAGTGAGCTGTGCAGATATCAAGGCAAAGAGCACTAGGCAGCATCCAGACAGTGAGAACAGCAAGTGCAAAGGTCCTGGGGCAGCGGGGGTAGCTTACAAAAGAGCGGACTGGAGGTTAGGAGGTCAGAGGTCCTTTTATTCACTCATTCATCATTCAACAGTGGCTACTACTGTGCCTACTACGTACTGGGAATGCAAGGATGGAAACGTCCATGCTGTGAAGGAACTCAGTGTAGCTGGGAAGATATAATGAAGAGGATGACAGCTGATGCACAGTGCTCACTGTCAGGCACCCTGTATGGATGATGCATCTCCTCTTAACAACCCCATGAGGTAGACCCTCTTACTGTCCCCATTTGCAGATGAGGAAGGCACAGAAAGCTGGGTACCATATCTCGAGTGAGGTCACACCACTAGTCCATGGCACAGCAGGGATTCAAACACAGTGGTTTAGCTACCAGGCTTCTGCTACACACACTGCTCTGCCACTTCTCCCACTGGTGATGAGTTTATGGCAAAGCACATGAATAAGGGGATCTGGGGACAGAGAGGACAGCTGACCAGCCCAAGGGACCGGACAGGCTTTGCAGAAGAGGTGCTAATGAAATAGGATGTATGAGGTGAAACGGGTCCCAGTCCACACATAATCTATTATAGGCTCATGACGCCTATCATGCTTTGCTGCTGTCATTCCCTCCACGAGTCTCTCTCCACATCTGTTTGCTGGTAAATGTTTAACAACTGGATTTGTGGGAGGGGGAATGTACGCACGTATATAAGTACATGATTTTACTGATTTAAGGATGTGTGTGCACAATTTACATACAATAATAAATTACACAATACTCTGTATTATAAATTCCATATAGCCAATGCCTTCACTGCATTTCAGGCGTCTCATTGAATGCCTTCATTGATTTTTGCCTTACTCTTGAAGACATAGCCAATGAGTGTAGCTCCTACATGAAGGCTCACTAATGCTTCCGTTTACGTGAACGTGCGAGATGAAATGAAATGATGAAGACATACGTTGGAACTTCATGTGAGCAACTTTGCTGAATCAGATAATGGTTTTCAAAATCTTGAAGAATATTTTCTCAATTTTTAATGTTATTTTCAATATAACAGGTTAAATAGTTAAAGTTTAACCTGTATAATTAACACTGTCTCTGTCACTGTCTAGATGACATCCAGATGCTCTTTAAAACATTAAATCAAGCCCTAGTGGGTATTTGCTGATTTTCGTGGTATAAATGCCCCATTGTGGTCAATTTCAACCTACCAACATCATGTTCCTGGAAGTGGAATTGGGAAAGATGCACAGCAGTAACACATCAATACACAGTATTCCCACCACGTAGATAAAGGAGACATAAAGAATCTTAAGAGAACAGGTATTAGTAAAACGCACTAAAAATCAGTAAATAATATATTTTGTTTTAAATGCCACATACCTTTACATGTAACATAATCAGCTTAATTATAAGTTCATGCAGTTTGACTTTTTTTTTGTCTTCTTTTTTTTTAAGCATTTTTATTTTTATTTTTTAAAACTTTTTGGCCGCACAATGTAGTATGTGGGATTTAATTCCCCAACCAGGGATTGAATCCACACCCCCTGCATTGGAAGCATGGAGTCTTAACCACTGGACCGCTGGGGAAGTCCCTGTCTTTTTTTTACACATATTTTTGTTGTTGTAATTTGACTTTAAACAGCTGTGTTTAATTGCCAGCTCAACTGTTTCCTACAAATGTAACAATCGGTTCTGGGCCACCATTCCCGGCTCCCAGCCCCCCACTCTTCTCAGTCCTCCTGGCCCGGCACGAGGGCCACTCTTCAGTGAAGACTGCCATGGTGCTTCGTGCCTTGCTGATAACACACGTTTGATCCCACCTTGCGTTACAATCATTTAATGTTATTATGTGGAATGTATCTGAATCCCCAGCCTGATGATGAGTTATGCTGACACTGGCACAGGTTACAGCACCCAGGGCCTACCCCAGTCACCTTCATAGTAGGAATGTGAGGCTGAGAAGGCCACGTCGTCACCACCCCACCACTTCCTCCAGGAGGAATGAACAGATGGACACAGGTGGGAGGATGAGCAGGGCAAAGGCTTGCATGCAGTCCTTGACTGAGGCTACAGATTTCCCACAAAAATATCATAAAGAATGGCTATTTGGGGATAGATTGCAGGCTCTGGTCTGTGATAATCTAATGCCTGAAGGACAAGGGTCTGGCTGCCTCGAGACCCAGGAACCCCAGGAGGGAAAACTAGGCTTTCTAAGCCAGAGAAGGTAATCTAAAAAGAATTTGCTGCCAGGTCCTCCTGTTTTTATCCCAACTAGGCTTTGCAAACCTTTTTTTAAATAATGAATGAGAGGGGAGCAAAGTGGGCATAGACAGTGCATTCTGATGACTGTCTCAACTCTTTTTTTGGAAAAAGGTGGGGTACAAATCCCAAACTGAAACTGTAGGAGTTTAGATTCCTGAAAGCCTCTGAGGCGGGAGAGTTCATGGGTAGGGAAATTAAGATTCCACACAGAAAACACAGTTAGGGGGAATTCCTTGGTGGTCCAGTGGTTAGGACTCGACGCTCTCACTGCCAAGGGCCTGGGTTCAATCCCTGGTTGGGGAACTAAGATCCCACAAGCCACATGGTGTGGCCAAAAAAAAAAAGAAAAGAAAAAGAAAAAAACATTATATAAAAAAGAGAAAACACAGTTAGGGAGGAATGGGGTTGCTAAGTGAATCTCTGAAGCTTTTATAAATGATTGCACTAGATATCACAAAACAATAAAAGCAGCCCCAAATAAAGCAGATGCCAATGGCAGTGTACATTTATCAACTCAGTACAGACCAGAGCCTGTGCAGTTGATTTCAACTTATCACTTGCTGGGCAGAACCTGCTCTGCACTCCCTCCCAGTAGCTGCAGCAAGATGCCTGCAAATGCACTTGTGAGGACCACACACACAATGAGAGTTTCCTCCCCTCTCTGATTTATACTCCTTGATTTGCACCTGCCTGGGCCCCATCTCTCATCAAAGCCCTGCTCCCTCCTCCCCCATCCCTGTTCCCAGGAGCCACCAGAGGGCAGTTGTAAAGGATGAGCTTCTTCTCTCCTTTATCTTTTATATCTTCACATCTTTATCTGGGGCCTCACTGCACAGCCTCCACCCCTGCCCGGCCGTCTGGTCCATCTTCCTTTCCTCATCATCCCCACTCATGCAACTTCCAACGTTCTCTGGTTACATCTCCTGCTTTTGCTTGCCCTCCATCCACTTCCATTTTCCTCTGAGGAGCTACTTCTCTCCCTCTCCCAATCCACACAGACCTGACCCCAACCCTGGCTCCAAAGGCAGACACACTCCACCCTTGGGGACACAGAGATAGTCAAGGATGGGCAAACAACCCAAGTTGTTATAAATATAGCCAAGACAGGACAATGACCTTTACCCCTGGGATTTTGCTGTACCTACTAAGAAAGTAGCACTCTTTCTGCTGGGGTTGCTAAGTTAGTAGGAAGAAGTAAGCATGAAGCTGCTGGATATACCCTTGCCACTACTTGAAGAGAGCTTACCTGAGACATGGAGAAAAACATTCCCTAAGCACCTGGATCCAGACACACCTGAAGAACACCCTAGATATTTCCATTATATGAGCCAACAAATTATCAGTTTTGGGTATTGTTTTTGCTTAAATCAGTTTGAGTGGAGATTCCATCCCTTGCAACTGACAGAGTTCTGATTTGTACAAGGTTCAGGGAAAGGTACATAACTGGGGTCGGAGAAGCAGTTCTATGGGTGTTTGTTTGTATATATAAACAAAAATCACCTACATTCAAAAACTACTATACACCTTTTAGGTATGTAAGCTCAATGAAGACAAAAATACAAGGTAGAATCAGGGAAGGGGAAAGACAGGTGTTTTTGTCTGACTGAAAAAATGATAAAACACCTGACCTAGGATGGCTATAGCAAAGAAGGGCAGCTGCTAGGTTACCATGGTAAAGAGGAAAGGGTGGGCTTTCAGGACCCCGGGGACTCACCCTCATCAGTGATGGTGCCACTGCTGGAGCCCCCGCTGCTCTTGGACTGCCGGTGGGATGAGGAGGAGGACACGGAGGACTCGGCTGCCTGCGCTTTGGGAGAAGGTGAAGGCGTGAGCGTGGGGGAGGTGCTTTTGGAGGTAGTGGAAGTTCCAGACGGAGGCCTTTTGCTCGTCTCCAGTTTCTGCTGAAAAGAATAAGACAAGTACAATATTTTTGTGTGTGTGTGGTATGCGGGCCTCTCACTGTTGTGGCCTCTCCCGTGTGGAGCACAGGGTCCGGACGCGCAGGCTCAGCGGCCATGGCTCACGGGCCCAGCTGCTCCGCGGCATGTGGGATCTTCCCGGACCGGGGCACGAACCCGTGTCCCCTGCATCGGCAGGCGGACATTCAACCACTGCGCCACCAGGGAAGCCCGACAAATACAATTTTGAGCCCAAATCAATTGAGTCCTTTGCCCACTGGGAGGGAAAACAACTTTCATACCAGGACTGGTGAGATTTGGGGTTTCTGCATTTACTCTTGACCTGTGACTGAAATTTTAGAATCCAAGCTATAAGCCCTCTTTATCTGTCTCTGTATGTCTGTAGATTAGAAAGGCCTTTGTCCTTCATTGTGTAATATTTTCTTATTTCCAGAGGTTATTAATAAATTTGATTATAAAGTCAAAAAAAATAAAAAAGAATAAGACAAATACATAAGCCATTACCTGGAGGGTAGACACGATTCAAACAGACACCCACACCAGGGAACACGTGGGACATTTGACTCAACAAGATATCTAACCAGGACTATGACATCTACTTAAGAAAACATGCAAAGCAGAAACAGTATTATCAAAACAGTTACAGGAAAATCCTCCCCTGGAGCAGAGAGGCAGGGAATGGGATGGAAAAAGTGGCACATAAGGAGCCAGAAAACCCAGGTCCTAGTCCTGCCCCTACAGCTGCGATATTGTGTCCTTGGCTGAGTCCCCTAACCTCTCAGTTAACCAGCTCTAAAATGGAAGTGTGGCTTATTACAAACGAAGGCCCATTCTGCTCTTCATGTTTCTTCATTTAAACCAGTCACTTCTAACCTTTCACCACAGAACACTTATTATTTTTCCTTTGTGTGTGTTGCACACAAAAAGCCCTTCTTATTTTGAAATACTTTATTTTATTGAAGTACAGTAGATTTACAATGTTGTGCTAGTTTGGGGTGTACAACATAGTGAATTGGGTAGGGTTTTTTTGCAGTTTACATTCCATTATAGGTTATTACAAGATATTGGGTATAATTCCTGGGACTATACAGTAAATCCTTTTTGCTTATCTATTTTACGTATAGTAGTTTGTATCTGTTAATCCCATACTCCTAGTTTGTCCCTCCCCGCCCCCCTTTGGTAATCGTAAATTTGTTTTCTATGTTTGTGAGTACTCTTAGACTTACAATGACGGAAACTAAGAAATTAACACTGGGACAGTATCAGCTAAACTACAGACGGTACTCAAATATCACTGGTTGTTACACTGATTCTTATTCTGGTCCACTGATTCTTATTCTGGTCATACTGCATTGACTTGTTAGGTCTCCTTAGTCTCCTCCAATCTGTGAAAACTCCTTGGTCTTGCCTTGTCTTTCATGACCTCGACACTTTTGAAGAGTCCTAGTCAGGTATTTGTAGACAGTCCCTCAATTTGGGTGTGTCTTATTTTTTCATAATTAGATTTACTTATGGATTTTGAGGTTGATGACCACTGAGATGATGTGCTATTCTCAGTGCATCACACCAGGAGATACAAAGTATCAGTACCTTATCACTGATGCTAGCCTTGATGACTTAGTTAAGGTGGTATCTGTCAGGTTTCTCCATTGTGAAGTTACTATTTTTCCCTTTATAACCAATAAATATTTGGGGAGACATTTTGAGCTAAATATTTTGTTTTTTCTTAAAAGTTTTGCCTGCTAATTTTAACATTCTTTGGTGCATCTTCTCTGGAGCAATTACTACTGTGATGTTCTAATGGTGTTTTGCTATTTCCCTTATTCCTTCCACATTTATTACTTGGAATTCTTCTGTACAGAAGACTTGTTCCTTCTCCCCCGATTTATTTATTCAGTTATTTATTCGTATCAGCATGGGCTTGTGGATATTTATTCTCTGGGTTATAATCCAATACTACTGTTATGCCCTGGTCCCTTTTATTGGAGGGTGCTATTTAGAAATCAAAATCTGGACAGTAGGTTGCTCATGGCTACTGGGATATCACTGCTTCTAGGTCCTCTCAGTGAACAGAGCAAGGAAATATATGAAGTCTACTAACCCATGCATACACACATAGCTCTACAATAAGTATATTCCTATGTCTATCAATCTGTGTATATATGTATATTTATGCATACATTCATACTGATTCATACTGACACCTCTGACTCCAATCCAATACTCACAGGATTAGTTCTAGCATTTCCCCTTTGACTCAATCTCTGACAGTTAAAAACTGGGCTCATTATCTATAATATATTTACTTATTTGTTCAACCCTAGTATATATATAAAGTGTATATGTACACAAAAGGTATATATATGTAAAGTAGCTTCACAACTGCTACACCATAACGCCTGCAAGAAAAAAAAAAACCTCAGATGAATTGGGAGATTGGAATTAACATATATACACTACTATGTATAAAATAGATAACTAATGAGAACCTGCTGTATAGCACAGGGAACTCTACTTCACTTTGCTGTACAGTAGAAACTAACACAACATTGTAAAACAACTATACCCCAATCAAAAAAAAAATCAACTAGAGTACAATGCTTTTGTACAGTTCTTTTTGTCTTTACTTTACTCTCACAATATCCATTTACATGTTTTCTCCCACCTCCTACAGTGCAGTTATGTCATTCACTTGTAATACAACTACATCTGTTGTCATAGTCTGCGTACATCCTTAGGTCCTGGTTGATTTTTTTAAAATCTGCATACAGTAAAAATAACTGTTGTGTACAATTCTACAGGTATTGATAAATACGTAGAGTTGTGTATTCCACCAACAGAGTACCATATGGAACAGTTCCATCATCCCCCATATTCCCTTGTGCTGTTTCTTTCTAGTCAACCCCTCCCCCCATCCCAACCCATGGAAATAACTGATCTGTTTTCCATCCTTATAGTTTTGCCTTTTGTATACTGTCATATAAATGGAATCAAACAATATGTACACTTTTTTGTCTGATGCAGCATGATGCCTCTAAGTTTCATTTAAATTACTGCATGTGTCAGTAGTGTGTTCTTTTACATTGCTGAGTAGTATTCAATTGCATGGATATTACCACAGTTAGTTTACCTGTTCACCTGTTATGAGATGTTTCTAGTTTGGGGTATTTATGAAAAAACTGCTGTAAACATTTGCAAACTGATTTTTGTATAAACAGAAGTTTAAAAAAATTCATTTGGGTAAATATCTAGGAGTGAGAGAGCCAGGTCACATGCTATATGTATGTTTAGTTTTATAAGAAACTGACAAACTTTTTCAAGGCAGCTGTATCATTTTTGCATTCCCACCAGCAATGAATGGGAATTCCAGTAGCTCCACATTCTCACAGCACTTGTAACTTAATTTTTTTTAAAATTTTAGGCAGTCTAATAATAGGTGTAGAGTGCTGTCTCATTGTGGTTTTAAGTAGCATTCCCTAAATAATGATGTTGAACATCTTTTCATATGTTTACGTGCCATCTGCATATTTTCTTTCATGATACTTTTCAGATACTTTGCCCATTTTTAAATTTATTGGTTGTTTTCTCATTGTTGAGTTTTGAGAGTTCTTTATTCTGGATACAAGACCTTTATCAGATACATGATTCGCAAATATATTGTCTAGTCTGTGGCTTGTCTTTTCATTCTCTTAATGCTGTCTCTTACAGACAAAAGATATGAATTTTCATAAAGTCGAATTTAACATTTTCCTCTTTTATGGATCATGCTTTTGGTACTATATCTTAAACTTACTTGCCAAATCCAAAGTCACACAGACTTTCCCCTAGAAATTTTATAGTTTTTCATTTTGTATTTCAGTCTATGATCCATTTTGAGTTAATCTCTGAATTAGCTGTGAGAAATATGTGAAGGTTCATTTTCCTGCATATTTAATTGTTCCAGCACTATTTGTTGAAAAGACTACCCTTTCTTTGTGGAATTGCCTTTGCACCTTTGTAAAAAAAAAAAAAAATTCAGTTGATTATTCTTTGGCCTCTCTATTCTGTTCCATTGACCTGTGTGTCTGTCCTTCCCTAATACTGTACTGTAGTTTTATAGTAAGTCTTGAAACTAGGTATTATGATTCTCTTTTTCATAATTCTTTTGCCTATTATAGTTTATTTGCATCTAAATATAAATTTAAGAATCACTTTCTAGATCTCTACAAAAAGAGCTAGCTGGGATTTTAATTGGGATTACATTGAATCTATAGATCAAATTACAAAAAAATGGATATCTATTTATTTAAGCTTATTTGATTTATCAGTGTCTTGTGGTTTTCAACTTACAGACTCTGCGTATACTTTATTAGATTTATACTTAAGTATTTCATTCTCATAATACATTTTCATATAATTTTATTTTCATATAATACATTTCAAATGTATTGTAAATGATATTTTAAGTTTCATATTTTAAAAGTCTAACTGTTCTAATTCTAATTGTTCATTGCTAGTGTGTAAAAACACAATTGGGACTTTTGTATATTGACCTCGTATCCTGAGACCCTGCTGAACTCACTTCTTAGTCCTAGGAGCTTTTGTGTAGATTTTTTTGAGTTTTCTAAGCAGACATCATATCATCTAAAAATAGAGATAGTTTTCTTTCTTCCTTTACAATCTGTGTACCTTTTATTTGTTTCTTACCTTATTACACTAGCTATAGTTTTTGGTACAAAGTTGAGAGACAACATCCTTATTCCTGATCTTAGGCGGAAAGCACTCAGTCTTTCACCATTAAGTATGATGCTAAGTACAGGTATCTTACATGAGGTCCAGGAATTTCTTTTCAATTCTTAATTTGCCAAAAGTTGTGATTGTGAATGGAGTTTGAATTTTGCCAAGTGCTTTTTCTGCATTTTATTCTTTAGTCTGTTAATATGGTGAATTACTCTGACAAAGTGTTCTTTTTTGGGTATTTATCCTATTTAGTGTTCTCTTAACTTCCTGGACCTATGGTTTGGCATCTGTCATTAATTTGGGCAGAAATTCTTGGTCATTAAAAAATACGTATATATTCCTCTGCACCACCATTCTCTCTTTCTTCAGGGGTTCCAATTACTTGTATGTGAGAGTATTTGATATTATCTCACAGCTCTTGGGTGCTCTGCTTTTTTTCTTTTGCTTTACCTTCTTTTTTACTTTGTGTTTCAGTTTGGGTAATTTCTATTGCCCTATCTTCAGGTTCACTGATTCTTTCCTTGGCTGTGTCAGGTCTACTGAGGAGCCCATCAGAGGCATTTCTAATCTCTGTTACAGGTTTTCTATTTCTAGCATTTCAATTTGATTCTTTCTTATAGTTTCCATTTCTCTGCTGAAATTGTTGCTCATAGGATCTTGCATGCTGTTCAAATTTTCCACTAGAGCCTTTAACATATTAATTGTAGTTCTTTTAAATTTCCTGTCACATAATTCCAACACCTGTTTCACATCTACATCAGATTCTGATGACTGCCTTACTTCTTGGGAGTGTGGTGTTTCTTGCCTTTTTGTACGTCTTATAATTTATGCTAAAAATTGGACATCTCATTTAGAATAGTAGAGACCAGGACAAATATTTTCCTGCCTGGAAATGGGTACACCTTTCCTTCTGCTAGGCCTTTAATGCTCCTTCGAGCTAACTACAACCCAGAGTGGAAAAAGAAGTCCCTTTCTTACGTTTTAAAAGACTTTGTAAATAAGCTGCCTATATTATTAAGGAATTCTTCCTCTGCTTTTTCTATAAGGACAGACATTCCATAATAAAGCTTCTGGTTAAGCAGAAGGTAATTGGTATATCCCTAAGAAACAGATCTATCCCAGCCAAGAGCAAAGAAACACAATACTCTAGGCCTTGTGTGCAGCATTATTCGGGAGGGAGCAGATAAATATAAACTTTGGGATGCTCTGAAATATTTGAACCATTCCTCTCATGCGCAGTGTGGCAGATTGATCATGTAATGGCATCATCTCCACCCCTCCCTGGATCAATACCCTTTGCTATGTAACTCTGTGTGGTCTCCTGCACAGAGGGTGTGATGACTTAGTTACTTGATTGGTTTTCAACTTATGCCTTTGACTAGTGCCATTAGAACATACCCAAGCTTGCTGTGGGCATACATGGCCCTGTTTTTTTGGTCACCCCAGGCAAAAGCCAAACATCTAAGTGATCCCCTCAGACCAGAAGAACTGCTTAACTAAGTCAAGACTAAACTGCCCAGCCACAGATCTGCAAGCAAAAGAAATGCCTTCTGTTCTAAACCACTGTGCTTTCGGGTGGGAACAGAAAGCTGATATTCCCAGTGGGCCTTTGGGCTTCCTGAGATCTGGGAAGTGTTGAAGCATACTCTGATCCCATTCCCCCCAATTCTGGGTCTCCTAAGGCACACTTCATGTGAGAAGCCATGCCTTACAAATATCCCGCCATCGCAGTGGTGCTTGTTTTAAGCAAAGTACAAAACCCAGATTTAGGAGGCTCATATGTTGAATACTAATTTCTAATTCTTCCTAACGCAGTCTTTGAAAAGCACTTCATGTCTCCATTTTGCTGCTGGAGCCTTTGACAGAAAGCCCACTCCTGTGTCCTTTGGTTTAGGGCAGTGGTTTCCAAGAACTTGGGCTGGGCTGGCTGCAACACTCTCTGGGGAGAAAAACAGATTCCCCTAACCCTACCCTAAGAGTTTCATTCAGTTATGCTGTGTGGGACCCAGTAATCTGAATTTTTAAATAGCTCCCCAGGATTACAGTATATTCTTATGTTAAGAATATCAGGTGATCATTAAACTGAATTGTTTCCCCAGTCTTCTGTTTCCTGAATGCATCTTTAGACACAATTTCCTTTCATCAGAACACACTTGTATATAGATTAAATGATAGGTGCATCCAAGTGAGGTAGTAGTTAATATAATTTATAACTTAGATGCCTACCTATTTCCAACACCAATTAAAGGAAGCTAACAATATATAACACATCTAATAAGACCATCAAAATAGAAACAGAAAATTTTAGACAACAGAGAAGAGGAAAACTATATCAAAATTCTAGAGTAGCAGATTTACCTTAATGAGTAGCTGAGTCTCCTAGCAGCAAAGGCAAAAAGTGAAATATGCTAATTATAGAATTCTTACTATCTGATGAAATAAAATGTATCGAAGTATCTGATGAAATAAAATGTATTGAAGTATCAGTAGAGACATTTTTTCCGTAGAGCTGAATTCTAAAAGGAACTTAATTACATAAATCCTATTACACAAGTAATTTTGAACATAATAGAAAATATGCTAATGTATAGAGAGAAATTTTTTCTGGAGTTATATTGTAAAGAAACTAATTATACAGGTCCAACTGAGTAAGGGACTTTGAATAACAAAAAGAGTTGTATAACCAACAGTGGTTGGGCAGACAATAAAGACTATTTCTCATACATCCATTAAGACATCAATCTCTGGAGGCACTTCTGGGCAAAGGTCCAAGGGTGAGGCCTTCAGACGATCTAACTTTTCTCAGGGAAAAAGCTTAAGACATCTAGAAAATAAGATGAAGAGTGCGGTTGTGCCTGGACTTGGGGTCCTCTCAGAGGAGGAAATGGGCTATACTGCCCCACTGCAGGGGCACCTGGAGAGCCATCTGGTAAAGGAGCCAGTTCATGCTCATGACTAGGTACCCACACTCTGGGGGCTCACTCCATTAATCAGCCCCGGAGGAGGGACTCAGGAGGTGGAGGGGGAAGATTCTGAAGACACTGGAAGACCTCCCCTCCCAGAGGCATGTGGGGTTTTCCACGCATTGCAAATCCCACAGTTTGCTACCACCGTGGTGACTGCTCTGGGGCTGCACTAATGGAGGAAAGGTGCCAGAGCAGGGAGGTGAGGCCCTGGCTCTGTCCTGCCCACAAACCTCCCTTTAGTTCCTTTCCTACACCACACTCTCATCTCCGGCGCTCTGCACGTGCCGTCCCCTCACCCTGGGACAGTCTCCCCCTCGCCCCACCCTTGCCCCTTTCATCTGGCACTTCATCCTTCAGAGCCCTGTCTAGATGTCACTGACGCCCTCAAGCCTCGGCAGAAACCGAGCCGTGCCCCACAGCATCCTCCCCTCTCCACAACAGACCCTACCACACCAGTGTGAGACAGCTGTGTCTGCAGTGACACCCTGAGAACGGTCACCAAAGCCCTGGTTCACTGCTGGATCCTCACTGCTGGAAGTGCCAGGCACAGAGCAGATGCTCCGAAGATGTGGACAGTGGATGCATAAGGAAGGAGTACAAATACTACTGCTACGACTGTCAACAGTAAGGGCTGACACTTATACAGGCATACCAGGTACCAGCCCCATTCTAAATGCTGAAGTGTGAGGCTGTGATTAGAACCCAGGCAGTTGCTCCTGAACCCACACTCTGAACCCTTTTGCTCTAAATCAGTGAACAAAAACACGTGCCGTGTGAGGCTGCATGACCAGTACAGGGCTGGAGAACTTAGTGCTCACCCCGGCATCGCATCGCACCTCAGCACCCCTCCCACCTGGAGGTATCCTGGAGATCGGGCGAGAGGTGAACACACGTGTGCAGGAGACCAAGGGCACAGGGTATGATCTCGGCAGCCACCCTTCTCAGAAAGCCCAGGTGCGGCCAGATGGGAGGTTTAGTCCTATCCCACGACGGTGGCACCGCCTGTGCTCCCCAGGCGTGGACCATGCTAGAACAGGACCTGTGAGCGTCAGAGGAGCAGACGGAAACAGAACAAGCACCTTGCCACCAGGAACACTGCCGCCTGCAGAGGAGACCAGGAGCTCAGACGGGCTGGAGCCAGGCGCTGGCCCAACAGGACTTGACCGATGGCTGGGCTTCTGCTCAGATAATCCGGCTGCTTTTTTCCTCTGGGCAGCGATCTGGGACAGAACACTGTCTATGCTGCCACCTGAGGAAACAGGAATAGGAATGACTGCCTGGGTCCAGAGCACTGCAGTGCGGGCGGTGGACATCAGGTGCCGATCTGGCTGAGCCAGAACCCCGTTTCCCAGACCCCCGCCCCTGGCTCTGGGTCAGGGCTAACCACAGGAGGACTGTGCATGACAACTGGCAGGTGGACGGCCATCAAGGCTCCAGTTTGTCCTCGCTTTCCCCCGAGCCACGGCCAGTTCAGTCAGCTGCCAGCGGGCACAGACAGCACGCCCTGCCCTGGGTTCCCCCAGCAGCCCCGCTGCAGTGCCTGCCAGCAGCTCCACATGCTGCCACGCCAGGGCTCCTCTGCCATCATCCAGCCCCCGCTTCTGGATCTCTACGCCCCCAGCTACTCCCAGAGTTGAGTCAATAACTTTCTCACTCCATAATACTCAAGGGGTTAGCTTCCCTGACTGAATCCTGACTGCCAAGTTCTCTCTCCCTGTTTCCCCAAACCTACCAGCAACCTTGAATTATTAGGAAGGAAAAGGGGAAAGTGATAATATCCAGAGCGCGGGAGGGCACTGGAGGGAGAACACTGATATCTGACACTTATAGAGCACTTACTAGGTCTGGAGGGCAAAGTGTAAAGCTTCAAAGACAGGCACACCCACTGCCCCCGCCACCCTGATTCAAAGGCACTTACATTAAGCAAATCGCTAAGCAAGCAGGCAAGCGCAGAGCTATGGAGCCATTACTTAGAGTGGGATCTCCAAGAGCAAAAATCGAGAACAGCCTGAATGGTTGAACACCATTCAACAAGAGGGAACTGGTGAATTAAAACTGACACCTCATATGAGTGGAAGGCTGTCTGGTTATTTAAAAGATGCTGTAGCTACACGTGTACTGGCATAAAGAGGTGTTTACAACATGGTAATGGGTACAAAGAGGAAAAAGGTTACAGAGCAGACTACACTGGGAAGTCAGCCTGCTTGCGTGCAGGTCCTGGCTCTACTACTTCGCAGCTGTGTGGTCCTGGGCGAGTTATTTAACTCCCCTGAGCCCCAGTTCCCTCCTCTGTAAAGTGGACAGGACACCTCACAGGTTGTTGGAGGACTGAAGGAGATAATCTATTTAAAGGGCACTGTGCCTGGCACACACTAAGTGCTTAATAAATTATTATTATGCTTTCAAAAATATGCATTAAAGTACTTTGCGAAGATATACACCAAAATGTTAACAATGATCCCTAGTGGGTGAGATTATACTTTTCTTTTCTTTATCTGGTTTTCAAGCTTTTCCATAAGAAGCATGCATTCCTTATGTAATGGCATAAAGCAGGGTGCCTTCCTGCAAAGCTGGCTTTGGTTAATCCTGGATCCCCTCGGGGAGGACCAGAAAATATCCTGTAACCAGCCTCATTACCTATTCCCATACTCTGGTGTTTTGCTTGGTTTTTTATAGTATTTATTATCATCAGATTTTTAAAAAATTATCTGTTTATACCAGAATACAACTTCTTACAGAACTGACTTTGAATTTTTTATTGCTAAATGCTCTATCGCCTAGACATTGCCTTGCATCTAATAAGTGGTCAACAATATTTGCTGAAAGAATATGGTAAACAAATGTAATGATGTGAAAAGAATTAAAATTAAAGAAAAAGAAAGTATGCCAATAAGCCCCAAATAACTGTGGGGCAATTTGCTTTGAGTCTTAATTGTCTCTGGGCAAATCTGCTGTGTGTCTCTGGGCAAATCTGTCACCCACTCTGAGCTTCAGTTTCCTCATCTGTTCATTGAAGGGTCAGGATGAGAAGATATCTAAGGTTTAATCTTCAAGGATTTTAAATACCGCAAAAACACCATGTATTTCTCTTAGTTTCTTGTAAAATTTTCCAAGAAAATAAAGCATTATAGACTATTTCTTCCCCTCCCCTGCCCTAAGAAAATGCATAGAAGAAACTATGAATTGTGAATTCACTGAAAAATCCTTTAGGCACATCAACGAGAAAGACAGGTTGTATGCAGTGGTCTCTAGGACTGTCCCCAGTTCACACCCTCAACCCCAAGGGATCTTCCCACCTCCCCGGAGTGGCCTGCCTGGGTACCCACCTGAGCGGTTGTGTAGCTCCCCACCGTGCCTGCTCATGCCTCCTACCCCACTGGAGCCACCAGAAGAATGAGGTGAGTGGTTGAAGTTTCCAGAATTGGCAGGAGAGGCTGGGCTTCTGGAGAGAGATGGAAATTTAACTGGCCTGACGGGAGTCTGCAAGAACAAGGTGGATATCACAGTTAGGGTTTGCTGTTCGTTCCTTCCGATGCACAGATCACAGTGGTGAGGGACCTGGAGTTCAGCTGGCCCACCCCAGCCGGTGCCTGCATCCACTGGCATGTCCTTGCCCACCGGTGCTCATCCTGCTAGGAGTCCCCCAAGGGATGGCAGTTCACATCTATCTGCTGACAACTTGACCGACCATTAACTCAGGCTGAGCACCTGTGACATCGTTTCCTACAGGTCACCCACCTGCTCCCATGTGGTGGACTAATGTAAACCCACTCTGTCCATTTTTGAGTACCTCCAGCCACCAGGCCCTTGGTCTCCAACTAGTGATTTGGTATTACGACAGTCCAGGGAGGCAGCAGCAAGCAATGGGGGTCAGACAGAGACGGGGGCCCTGAGGTTCTCCAATCGGTCGACACAAAGCGGCAGGGTCAGGTCCTAAATCCCTGTCCTCAGTTTGCCCATTTACTGAACCTACATTATTTACAGTCTACACATATGGAGATCAGCTCCCACAACGGGACGGACTACCTTAGTATATCACAGAGACACACCGAGGGCCACCAAGTCAGAAACCACTGTGGTCAAAAGGAGACAAGTCACACTTTCTGGCTGCAAGAAAACACTAGTAGCACACATAGTTGCCTCCCAGCATTGAGCTTTGTCCTGGACCTGCGCAATGTCGTATGGAACTTAATTAGAGGCCAAGAACCTGATTTCTGGTCCCAGCATCCCCGCCCCAACTTGGCTGGGTGACCTTCAGCAACTGACTTCCCTTCTCTGGGCTGTTTCCTCATCTACTAAAGGGAAGGGTGGATTAGATCAGGTCTTCAACCTGTGTTCCAGGGAGAGGGGCTCCCATCTTCACTCCATTCACTCTAACATTTTAATCTGCTTACATATTAAGTTCTTTGGTAGGGTTTCATTAGACAAAAGAATATCACTCATTTAAAAGAAAATAAAAAGCTTCAGCCCCCCTGGATTAGTGGGTCTCAGGTCCCTTCTGCCTGCAATGTCAGTGAGTGGTGACGTGTAAAGCATGTCAGCTGGACAACTTACGGTGTCTGTGCTCCCGCCGCCCACAGGTTGCCCCCTGCTGGCTCTCTGGGGCCGCACAGTCTTCATGGGGTCTGCCTTCCCGTTGTGACATGTCCGGGACCGATCGGAGCTCCACAGCTCAAAGCTGGAAGGGGGTAAGAAAGGGGGGATGACTGCCTTCAGCTTGTCGCTTGGGAGTCTGGTGAAGGGGGCTCCATTCCGAAGCTGAAAAAGACAGGCTGTGGGTTAGGCAAGCACCAAGAGGGCTCCCGGCTCTGCGAGGAAGGCTCCAGGTTTCCCCTGCTTCTCAGAGAACGGCAGCACTACCTACCCCTCCACCCAAGCCAGAAACCCACATGATGTCCTCAGCTCTCTTCCCAGCAACCAAGTGATTCCCACAGCTGCTCTGCTCCAACTCCCAGGTTCTCTTGCATCTGTCCACAGCAGAAACACACAACAGGGGCGGGGAGTATGGAGAGTCGTGGGGTAGCCAAGAGGTGATACGTGTGCTGTGATGGGGCAGCACAGGGGAGGGGCCACCTCTCCCTGCAGGTAGAGAGGGCATCTTGTGGGTGGGGGGGCACTTGAGCTGAGCCCAAAGGACAACAGAGAGGTTTGGGGAAAGGGCACTGCAGACCGAGGGAAGAGAATGTGGAAAGGCCTGGAGGCAAGAGGAGCAAGACCAGTGCACAGAATTGCAAGGACACTGGTGTGACCAGAGCTGGGGGTTTCAGGAGGAGGGGATGAGGGTACTGGAAGGCCCAGGCTGGCTATCTGTGAACCCAGCCAACCCTCCCATCCCCCATCCCACCACTTCCTTCCTACTCCAGCCACACCTCCCACTGCTGACATTTTTAACTGCAATTTAAGTTTTGAAAATGTGATTTGGGGTCAGTATAAAATCCACACAATGATGACTGGCGGATTGTCAAGGAAAAGCTTTCACACAGTCCAAGCTAACTTTAATTAAGAAAAGACAGTGAACTTGGTGCCAGATGGTGCTTTGCAGGGAAGGGCATACCACAGCTAAACCTGCCTCGGGAGCCAGGCAGGTGGGCATCTCCGCAAGGATGGCTGCAAACGCCCACTCAGCAGAGCACCGTGGCCATCCTCCATCTGCCACGGGGCAGGCAGGCGCACTGGTGCCCTCTAGAGGGCATGAGGAGGTGGGACAGGAGAGCAACAAGATGGGAGGGTGGGCATCCTGGGTTCCCACCCTGGCTCTATCCTGCTTTTCTGAGAGTCTGTGAATAAGGGCTGTCCCCTCTGGACCTCGACAACCTCATCTGCCTAAGGGTATTCATCAGAGCTGTTAAAACAATGAAAAACTAGGAACCCTAAAGTCCAGCAGGTCAGTCTTAGATAAAGAGATGAGGGCACAGTCCCATGATGGAATGTTCATCCTGCAGCCATTGGGTGTGATGGGACCAAAGAGTGTTTCTGACACAGAAAAGATGGTCATGACAAACTGTTAATACACCAGGTTCAGCACAATATGGGGAGGATAACAGTGCCTGACCTGGCATGGTTGTTGGGGATATTAAGTGAGTGAATATATGTAAAGTGCTGCAAATACTTAATAAGCATTTGGCTGGTACATACTTAGTGCTGTGTTAAGTATTTGTTTATTATATATAACACGATATCATATTCACAGATGTGAAAAAATGATTAGGGAAAATACTCAAAAGATATATGCCACAAAATGTCAATCATGATTATATCTAGATGTATGATCAAGGGCAATTTTATTTTTCTTTATACTTTACTGCATCTTCCAAAATTTCAATAACAGCATTTCTGTCTTCATACTGAAAGTAATTATTGCTATTTAATAACATTATCAAATGTTGGGCGGTACAAGTCCCACAGTCAGTGTGCAGACACCAATTTACGCCTATTACACAGCAGGGCAGAGCGGGCAGATCCTGGTCAGGGCTCCGCAGGTCCTGGGGCAGCTTAGTCTTTTGGGGGCTCCTCTGCTCCCTTCTTCTCTCCAATACTGCCCTCTCCTGGCCAGCCTCCAGATTAAGGCCTCAGAGCTAAAGGGACTTGAGCCCAACTCCAACCAGGAGACTCTCACTTCAGAGAAGAGAAATGAAGCCCACAGAAGTGAGGTAACATGTCCAACGTCACACAGTAGATAAATGAGAACTCATTCTGGGCCAGCCACTATGTTAAGAACTTCCTGGGGATGATCTCATTGAAAAACCACAACCATGAGAGATCATCCCCTAAGTTAGAGAAGGCTAGCTATCACCTAATGTCCATCCTCGATATCTTCCTCAGCAGACACACCTGATACTTAGATGGGCACACGACCACTCGGAACAAAGACTTCATTTCCCAGCCTCCTGTGCAGTGTGAATGGGCCATGTGACTAAATTCTGGCCCATTTAATGTAAGCAAAAGTGATGTGTGAGTTTCCAGGAAACTTCTTTAATTTTTTGCAGTACGTGGGCCTCTCACTGTCGTGGCCCCCCCCCCCCCCCCC